GCTTTTTAAATTAAACTAATCGTTAAAAAAAGGACACGTGGTTTCCTTTACTTGTCAATTTGACAGGTGTCAAATACGTAGAAATAGGTATACAGATAGCGTCCGTAAACCTAGTGTTGATAATGTATATATAATAAACGAGAAAACGACAGAGGTTTTATTCGTAGCCGCGGTTTATCGTATAATTAATGCAATTGATAACGATCGTGCGGAAGGGGTGGAGCTTTTGTCGGTGATTCGTTACGCGCTGTTTCGTTGTTTACGATGCAATCGGTGTAATTGACAACGATAGACGCGATGTTTATTCCTTGAAAATATTATTTCAGGTTCGTCGCGATTGCGATCCGTCAAATGGAACATCGGAGAGATAAATTTGGATATTCGACAATCGTCGGATAACGATCGTTCCAGATGCACCGGATACTCGTCGTGGTCCTCCCTGTTCGGTAGAATAATTTTTTCCACGGCCTGTTCAGCCGTTGGCTTACGTTCAATTGCGCGATGTACGGGATTTCGTATTGACCTAGATATTACGCGAGATCAATGTATTTACCTTGCTGCATAAATCTTATGTTATGCAGCGTGCACTCTGCCAGTGTCGTCGTGAAAGCCTTGACACTAGCATCCTTTGAATAACTTTTACGTAACGCCTGATTCGTCATTTACTCTGCATCCGGTGATAACTTTCGATAATCCGTTTCATCTTTCACCATTTACGAGTGCACGAAGCAGAACGTCGGAAAACAAAGAATAAATTTCCATCGTGTAATATTGACCTATAGCAAACATTCGTATTTAACGTTGATCTCGCGCGGGTACATCGATGATTGACCAATATTTATGCGATCTCAGGTGAACGTTTACTCGATTTGCGTTCGCGCTCGAGTTTACACTCGTAGTAATGGTGGCAAAGCGATTCGACGGATAAACCCGGACGGGAGGAGCTTAAAATATTTTTAACGAAAATATTTACGATGGCGTTTCATCCACGAAAATCCCCGAAAATATTTGTTTTTAATCGTTTTCAATATTTTTAATCGTTTTTAATATTTCTCGCGATTAATGGACGCTATAGATCCTCTCGCTTCAGCGACGTAGTTTCTCTTTATTTTTCTTTTCATTCCACGTCGTTCGTCGATGAATTACACGGTGTTAATTCCCCTGTTGAACCGGGATCGATCTTTATCCTGGAAGCAGTACTTGCTCTCGGTGTAGCCGATGTGTGTCACATTATGTCGTACAATACTACAGCTGATCAAACATGTACTTGTTTGAGATACACAAGGCACGTGAATATATTACAACACGGATACGTAATACGTGTTTTGTTAACCGTAAAATAGACGTTGCTCTCTGCACATAGATAACAACGTGGCGCGTGTACGTTTACTCTTTCAACCCCTTTCCGACAGTCGTTTTCACGGGGAGGGAAATAATAATAAAACGTGGAACGAACGCTTTAAAATTCGCATCGACCGTAAACCGTGGACGGGTTAATTCCGACCGAGGTCAATAGATTAACTCCGATAAAGATAACCCCTTTGAAGTAAAAACCAAGCAATTAGGTAGTAATTAAGCGTTAGGGAAAAGAAGCTGAACTCGATGATATGCCTAATTCGTAATACGACTTCCTCGAAAACAGCCTCTGAAAATTAATGTCGTCGGTAATCATGCCCTCTATCTTCGAGTAAACGTATGCATATTTAATTAACAAGCGTATCGGGAAGAATGAAAGGAGGAATTGTAACAATAGGACTATCTACTGTTGGCAATTCTAATTGTACTTACCTATTTATCTTCGTTTGGCCACTTTAATTAACACCAGATCCGCCGACCCGAACCGTGTGGCTAAATATACCATTCGCGAGTGACAACGATTAAACTGTTATGACGAAGATAGATCGATGTTAAAATTAACCATACATTTTTGGTAATCGCAGGAATGAATTTGTTTCACACAGTCCTCTGCGCTATCCCCGGGCTTCGGTTTCAATGTCGCGTTAAAAGCATAGGAGAGCAAATGAACAGTAGTTGGAAAGAAAGCGCTGTAACGATAATGTTCGATGAAAATTCACGATAATTTTGTGAGAAATGCTTCGCAGAGAATAAACGTTCGTTCCTAACCTAGTAATTCCAATTTTATTATTCTCAGATACGTCGTGGATGTATGAGATACAGGTCAACAGTCCCAGAGTGCAAAGCAGCGAGGTTCCCGCTATCTCTCGACATCCCCGTGTTTCATTTTTCCCGTCTTTCGGCTTAAAAGCCATCGAAGAATCGGAGACCGAACGGAGAGAAGTTTCGAAGGAAGCATTGTTTCAGGGGTTCCATCGTCGGCGGTTCTTAGCGTCGCGATCGTTACGACGGCTCACCGAATTTGTGAACGGGAACGAACGCTCTCGAATCGGAGTAACAACGGCGTCGTTGACACGAATCGCCGCCGAGTGTCATCGAGTACTCGCGACTCGCCAACTTCCGCTAATACCGCGGCCGCTCGATGCGGAGGAGTATGAAAGAGGAAGTTGGCAAGCAGCTGCGCGGAAAATTCCCGGTAGAAAATTTTTCTCCCGCAATTTTCCATTTCTTAAACCGTTAACACCCGACCGCGGGATTGCCGGAGGCCGTATAAAATACGTGGCATATCCCGAAGCGTTCCCAAATGGCGACTCCGCGATGGCGGTCGATGATGGAAAGGTTGCGTCGTGAAAACAGTGCAATTTTCCGCGGGTGAAAATGCTCGGACAAGTTCGGCGAGATTGGAACACGGTAAATCGAACGGGGAAATGAATAAGTTAGACAGCAACGACTCCATTTTTAAATCGTTCCGGAGGATCGGGAACTAGAGAGCTCGTTAACCTCGCTATTACGCTAACGCGGATGAATAATACACGAGGTACGGAAGGAAGGCCCTTAGCGAGTTTAAATTCGTCCTGGAAATTGATCCGAAACGAAAGCGAGCGCGATATTTATTTCGATCCAACGATATCCGCGGAAGAGGGATCGTATGTAAATAATATCGGGGAATAACCTAGGAGGTATTTTTATTCGGCGTGCAGAGCGCGATAAATTTGGAAGATTCGCGATTTCCCGCGAAGATAGATCTAGGATCGTAGAAGGGAATGGAAATAATTTCTGTGCCAAAGACTGGGTAATAGAGTAATAAAATCGATTTGACATGGTCCGGGGCTACGTACCGTCGTAAAAGGCGCAACAGCTCGTAATTCTCGATCGAAGGGGATGATTTGCTGGCTCGGTGTAAAATAATAAATAAACCCTATCAAGTGGACGCGTATCGTAGTAATTTTTCAGCAGGGGAATGAAATACGAGAAAATTCGTGGGTCGTGGTACGAATAGAAGAAAATTATTGCTGGGAAGAGCGCAGTGCCGGCGCGGCTGCGCGTAAAATGATTCTGAATTTTTCACAATAGTCTTCCGCTATGAAAACACCGATAAGCCTGGCCGCGAGTGTATTTCGTCGACGATAGCGAGTGAAATGGCCTGTCGTCGAGGGGTCAAAGGCCAAAAACGAAGCGTACGACGTGTGGAATGCCGCAATCGCGCGCGATCGTGGAAACATGCGCGCCCGGATTACACATTTATACGCTTCCATTTCCCAGGGAACGTGGAGCTTTCGCGAAAACTTCGATTCGATCCCGCTTTCGATGCCGAAAGCGCCAAGATATCGCCGGTTTCGTATCTTCCCGCGTAACCTCTGTCATTCCTAACTCGCGCGGATCGCGCGTTCGCGTTGGCCGTGGTTCGCTCGTTCGCCTTAGAAACGAAAGAAACAGCCGAAAGGTCAAGAAGCGTTTTATTTTTAGCGAGTTGATAGGAGAACGCTCGGAATTGTTTAATCGCAGCAGGGTAGCAGGAAGTTTAGCGAGCGTGGTGTTTAGAAGAACAATAACGGCCTGTTTTTCACCGTAGCCAGGTGGTAGCAAACACAGGGTTGTTTGCCGACGAGAGGCAAACAAGAGTTTGCGAGCACGAATAATACAGCTTTTCCGAGCATCGGGATACTATACGCGAAATTTCTATGCCCGAGTATCTCGGGTCTATTTTTTCCACGGCTCTTTAATTTTCGCGATAAAAATAATCGTCTCACGTTCAATGTTCTCTCCGTTCCTTATTTTCGAGATTCATTCACGTTGCACCAACTGCCGCGCTCGGGTTCGTCGCTCCGCTTTCAATCCGAACGAGACGAGGTCGACAGCGAGATCGGTGCCCTATAATGGACCGATAACTCATGCAAAGTCTCCGATATTTTCGACAGATTTACATAAAGCCGTTCTGTTTATATCCGCTTTCTTACTCGAGCGAATTAATCGTTGGGAAACGGGGGCAGTCCATCGCGAAACGGATCCATTCGATCGAAGTGAGTCAGCATCGCGAGAACAACGTTCGTTCTCGATCGCCCAATTATCTCTCTTCGTGGACTAATAAACTGTCTCGATCGTGATAACCTGATCGAGAAATCGACCAGTCGAGTCGAAATTGGATGACATTCGCCAGTCGATTGCGACAAAACGGTGTTTGTCCCTTCGCGTGTCGCCAAAGCGGGTCAAAGAGCGATAAACAACCATCGGACATCCCCTTAATCCCGTTACGCGACTTTTCGCGATGTTCGCCCACTGTTTCGTTGCTCTCCCGGTCTTGCTCCACCCCTCACGGTCTGCCTCGTTCCTTTTCTCGTCACCAACCTCTGTCCCGCACCCCGCGCGATACCCGATAACGTAGCCGAAGCTGTTTACATCGGTCGCAACAACTGCAGTCGAACAAACTCTCTCCTCGCCGATAACGCGCACCATGATTTATGGACGCTGATAATGAGCCTGTGCAACGAGGAGCGCTACTCGTCGCGACCACTGTCTTGAAAACTACGCTATCCCACCAGCTGCTATGGCCGAGACGAGGCATACAAACGGCAAACGTCGAAAGTCCGAATCACGTGCAGACGGCAATGTAAATTCGAGAATTACGTGGCCACCGTGCCAGGCTAATGTCCGATCTTTGTCAGCACGCGTACGCCGGAGATTCGTTAGAGGGTAGGAGGGTGAATGCACGAGTTTTCGGTATCGCGTTCGCCAAATAAGCGTCGTTTTTTTGCGTCGTGTCCGCGATATCCTTGCATGGCCAGATGACAGGTCTACATGTGGCTCTGTTTCAGGTGGCTTTCTGGGCGACATCGCTCTGCCGAATATCAAGTACGAGACCGAATGGCGACAGCAAAAGCTCAACAAGAGCTACCTGGAGGAGCTCGAGAAGTACCGAGACGAGGTCCTCAAGGAGGGTCTCCAGGTCGAGGAAGAGGGTCTCACGGGTAAGCAGGTTCCCCGTTTTTTATCCTGACCTTGGTCCTAGTGCTGGTCCTGTCTATGGTAGACGGACAGGCGATGGTGGATACGTTTGCTAGCGACAGGTGTGGTTTCAGACATCCTGCAGTTTAAAAATGAGCACGACGCTAACGAGGCGCATCAGGAGAACGAGGAGATCGTGGCTTCTCAAGAGAAATCCGAACCAATTATGGTGGACCGGAATCAATACAGCATGGACGGCGAGCTCGAGGGTGGATTCAGTTTTAACGCGAGGAACGAAGATGCCAGGCCTGGGGTGAGGGACGAAGGCGTTGAATTCAGGTAGAGCGGCACGAAAAATTTCACGCGAAAATTACGCGAACGTTTCCAGCGTGACGATGATCCGAGATTTTTCCAACCCCTCGAGATATACGTGTCATGCGATGTCACTCGCGTGGTAGTTTCAATTTTTTTCCCCTTTTTTCCTCCCTTTTTATCCCTCCATCTTTTTTTTCTCCCATTTTAACGAAAGACGCGGAAATTAATTAGAACGAGCGGAATAGCGGTTAAATATCCTTCTATATCGCGTTATCTTTCGATCGATTATGTTTCAACGCAAGATAAACCAGACGTTTCTAGGTCATCGCGTTCGTATTAATCTCGCGTAATTTTTAAATGGTCCCTGTTAAATGTAAACCCGCCCGTGTATCGATTCGCGAAATCTCTCGTTGAAAATCGCCTGGACGTCTGGAATTAACGGAATTAATACAGGGACGATAATAAATTTATTTGGAAAGTTTCGCCTCAGGTATAACTTTTGTGTCGGTAATAATTAAACCCGGATAATAAAGAACGCCTATTATACTCGCTTTTGGATATCGCGAATTTTAGCTTATCGTTTCGCTGGCAATTTTTACGAGCAACGCAAATCTCCAATTTTCCCAGCGAATCTTCCTCTCTATTTAATTTTAATCGCTTTCTATCGAATAGAAAATAAATCGAATTTTTTTCATACCGAATCTCCGGATATTTCCGAGTATTTTATCGCCGTTGAATTATCGCGAGATGTTGGAATTATCGAAGCGACCCGGCTAAAAATTTGACTAAATCCTTAGGCTAGAGTCAACGACCCCATCGACGAAGAAAAGGCATTCGGCTCGAAAACAAGGACGTGAAGCCTCGCAAACGGCGTCGAACGCTACAAAATCGATGCAAGCATTTTTGAGAACGTCTCAAGAGTCGAACGTGTTTCCTACCAGCACCGAGAGCACGAATCGAATGAAAAATCTGAACGCGGAAAACGTCGAGGAAGTATTCACCATTCAGCCGGAAAGCAGCACGCGGAACACGTCGAAACGGCGTCATCGTCGTCATCATCGTAGAAGGTACGAGAAAATCACCTCGCCTTTCCAATTATATTCGTTTACGGTACGCCGACTTTTTCGAATTCATCTTCGCGGATATGACGCTTTGCCCGAGGAATTAAAAATACGGCGAACGAGGGCGGGAATGGCGAATAGCAAAAGAAAAACAGGAATTTGATGACGACCGACGTTTTGAAAATTCCGATAAATCGTATAATGGGAAAAAGGGATAATTGAATTGGAAAAACCCGGAGTAGCGTGCTCCAGTTTTGCTCGCGCGAGTCCGGGCGTAAATACGCGCGTAAAAAAATCGCGTGAAAGGCAACCGCGATCGAGAAAAGAAGAAAATCATCCCTCTCCGGTTGCATATAGCGCGTTCGACACAATTCCGCGGAGCAAAACGCGTTTGTCAGGGGACGTTATCGTCGGATCGATTGGAAGCGTTCGGATTCTACAGGAAATTTATGGTGTTTAGATCTTCCATAAGATGCTGGTATTCGACCGATGCTCCAAGATGAATAGCAGAAGTCAAGAACTCGTAAATTAACGTCACGCCAATTCAATCTCATTTCGTCGTTTCAACTTTTTACACGCGCGATCGAACATCCTCGTTTGATACTTTTCCAACTTAAATCGGGCAGATCTTCGCGGGATCCGTTAAAATCGTGTTTCGAGATATTAAATATTGAAACCTTCGTCGTATAGAACCGACGATATTAATAAAAATTCCGCGCAGTCTGTATTGCACGAATTTCATCTTGGATATAAAATAGGACTATGATAAAAATTAAAAAGATATCCTCTCCCTGTCAAGAGCTTCTCAGTTTTAGAAGACCAACGAGGATCCCTTTGAATTCGTCGATATTTAATCGTCTAACCTATAAATTAACGATCAGTCTGACGGACTGAATTTTGAGTCCCGCGAGGGAGCGATTAAACCGTTTCAACGAAAGTCCTTCAAGCCGGAGTACACCATCGAAAAGTTGGAAAAAAGAAAAAATAACCGCGTGCTATCTCCGATGGAGAAGCGATCAAGTGTATTTCCGTGTTCGATAATAGAGTTCGCTCTTTTAACTCGCGCCTTCTCTATCGCCAACAATTTTCCGCTGGTAGGGCTACTATGCCAATAACAATGGTCGTCATCGTAAAGCTGGAAAATGGGGACCGATACTGCCGGCCGGGCATTTTCAGCCCTTCAACTGCCAATAACCTGTCAACATCGGCACCAGTGTCTCTGACCGGTTACGGATGTGTTTGCCTATAGATTATGCGCGCCTCTCAGTGAGAGCCTTTGGCGGATGAAGACCGAAAAAGGAGTAGAGGGACGTTATCGGTAAAACGTACTCGAGGAAATCCTGCTTTTTTCCCTCCCTTTTCCACCCCCTTTTTTCAACGGTGCTTCCGTGAAACTGCTTCCTTCCCGCGATCGGCGGGGAAATTTTTTAATCCGGCTAGTACACGAACAAACAACAAATTTTATCTCGCGATCGAGACGTTCGATTATTTTTAACGCAGCTGAGAGATCGAAATTCCAAATTTAACGAAACGAATCGCGACGACTACGAATTTACGGCTACACGTTTACCCCTTTCTACTCCATTGCCGCCATTGCGGTCAGATTGACAGATACACGTTGCGTTAATTATTTATAAACGTGGAATAGCGAGTGGAGATACTCTGTATACGTATAACTTTTGCTTCGGAAAAGCTCACTGCAGGCAATCGAATAAAAGAATTCCGCAAGCAAGCGGTTAAACGCGATTCGACATTAGCGAAACGCGAATTCGCGATGGAATTTGGCGACGCTATTAAATTTCAAATAGCGAATACCGATTCCACGATACTGCTCTGTACTCTGATAGCGATTCAACGGCTGCACGTTGAAGCAGGCTTACAAAAGCATTTGTTTACGACCTGTATCCGACACCACGAAACGGGATCGCATTGTGATCCTCCAATGAAGCTGCAGAGAATTCTTGAGACGATCAAACCGGACCCGATACCTTTGACGTGATTAAACCCTGTATTCGCAGAAATTTCCACCTATATTTCCCGCGCGGGGTTCTCTGCCACCCTCTCGGGCAAAGCGATGGCGGAATACGCTTAAGTCCCGTACGAAATTTTGCGTCGTGATTCCCCGCTTTCTTTCTTTTTTCCTCCTCGTTTAAAGCGATTCCAAGCTTCCTCTTTAAACGCGATTCATATCCCGAGTCGTTCGTTTTCGACACGATCCATCGAAAATTTGACGAAAGGAGTCGCGACAGCCGAAAGGCACAGGATTTAACGCGGCGTTCGGAGCGCGCTTTTATACGCTTTTAAGGGTGGAAAAATGGCCGCGAATTGCTCTTATCTAGCGTACCAGGCTTTTGTTATTACACGGATATAAGTCACGAGCTCGGGAATATATCGCGAACGCGAAACAATCCATTACGGAGGCGTCGCGACCGTCGAATTGCCGCGCAATTATCGAACGCAGGAATTCCAATTAAGAAGGCGGCCGCGGACGCATTAATTACAGATGGATAAGGAAGTTTCGAAAGTGCGCATTTTCATCGTGCTGTAAATTTCAGTGGGCTTGAAGTATCGATTAAAAACGAACCGAGACTCGAGACGCATTAATTTCACCGCCGATCCAATCTGATCGGGATTTAAGCGTTCTTCGTTGAAGGATCCGCGAGGACGATCGTGCCACCGGGATAACTTCGACTTATCTCGACCTCTTTCTACCCTCCTGTCCCTTCTATTTCGGCCATCGGGCAAATGAAGACGCAAAAAAGGTGAACAGAAGCCGAGGGAGGAATCTAGGGGAGAGGGAAGATGGCTGTAAGGGAAGATGGGATCCGAGTGATTTATCGGGATCAGCCGGAGAAAATTTCGTATTCAGCGAATACCAAGGTCCATAGGTAGTGGATCGTTCCCCGTAACTCATCATTTTCCGCTCTCCTCCGTGACTTCCGTTCTTGCGTTTCCGGTCGCGCCATCCCGCGGATCGCGTTATCAGCGTCGCGAGATTATCGCGCCTGTTTTGTCTCCGCCACGGACAATCGGATGGACGGGTGAAAGGGGATGAATTTTAAGGAGAGTTGCGATGAATTCGATTAAAAGTCCGTTCGTACGCGTGTCACGGGACGCGTCGTTCCTGCGAATTCAATTTCCACCGGGGAAAAATCGACGCCGGAGTCGAGTGGAATTAGCACGCTTACGGGGGATTTTATTCGTAACCAACTAATTTCATCTTTCATTCGATTCACGGCTGACCGATCTGAATGATCGCTAATCGAGTTTCGGTTTTGGCCTTGCAATTTGGAATTTCACGTTTTTCTCGCAACTGGCGACCTGTAACGGGTACCTAAATATAAATATGAGTTGTAAAACGGGAATAATTAATTTCGCGTAATTACATTCTTATTGGCTTCGCTGCAAAGAGCTGCACACGTTTACTTCAACCCCTTTGATAATTGCAGCGTTGGAACGCAATTTCTGGCGTGCTTGAGAAACACGAAGGTATCAGAAGAGGCGGAAATTCTCCATTATTCACCGGTCACGAATCGACGTGCGAGGACGATCAGCGAGAAATTCCGATTAATTTACTTAATTAATTGAATTAATTAATTAATCTCCGCCGAAGAAATCGCAGAGGCTGTAGGTCGGATTTTAACGCCGATATCCGCTAGGCAGGAGTTTTATCCAGCGACGATAAGTTATATCGAGGACGATGACAGTGGAACGAATGGAACAAACAAGGTTTAGGACGGCGAAATATTCGAGGACGCGGCAGGGTGAGTGGCCATTCGCGTTTTCATTGTCGTACGGGGCTGATTGATGAAAAATCGTGATTCGTTAAATTTCAACGGGTCGGGCTGGATTATTTCGGTGTGGCCGGGACACTGATATATTATATTGTGGTTTATTGCCTGCTGGTTAAGGGAGGGTCCGACCAGCGGCGCGGAGAGATGGATCGACATTCGAAGGGGTGGTAACTAGCGCACGTCAAAGCTAATAGAATGATCTATGCGTCTCGCGATCGTTTGATTGAAATCCACGTCGGAGTCAACCGATGCTGTTCCCCCGACGCGACCGAATAGTCCTCTGAATGCCGCGTGAAAGAGGAAAGGATGACATACGGCCGAGTCGCGTGACTTTTCAATGAATTTACCACCCCGTCCATCGGTCCTGACGAGACTTCCGGGCTGTACGCCTGTGCGCTTGTTCAGCTATCCTATCGTCCAACGCTCGTCAAAATTCCGCCACGTGAATTTTTTCTTACCACCATCGCACTCGTACTCGTTCACCACCTCGTCCAATTTTTCACCTCTGTTTCCGTTTCAGTTACGACGCTCGTTCGCGAAAATTCCCGTCGCCCAGTTTATTTTTCCAGGGATGAACGATCCACCCGCTAGAGATTGCTTTGGAATAAATTTTCCAGCAACTTTGTTGTTTCAACTTGTAACACGTGCAACTATTAAGCGAGTGAGAAATTAATTTCAGTATTTTTCACATAAAATATCAGCCCCTTTCTTTAAAGTTTCCATCGAATTTTCCTTCGTAGCCTGTTAACTTCTTAACGTTTTAATCAACGTGTCGTTGTATTTAATGCCGCTCGCGTTTAAGGACACTGCTTTGTGGCATGAAGCTGGAAGCAAGAGGGCACCGGCTACTGCAAAAGTCCGATACAATTTATTGACCGACCTAATATTTCAAAGAATATTCGACGTTAACGGCATCGCGTTCACGAAGTGAAAAACGGAGATCGAACAACGGTTATTGTCACATTGAATAAGTAGAGAACGATGGATTCAAAGACGGATTAAAAGATCGGTTAAAATGTATGGAACTCGTGGTTGGAAATATAGAATCACCGTCTAAAATCTATTCATCGCGGTTGTTTTCATCGAGCGAGTATCGTGCATGTACGTTTCACGGTGATAACAATCGCTTTATCACGGACTCCTTAAAATAGCGCAAAATTAATCGAACGATTTCGCACTCGAGAGCTAATATTCCCGCGATAATAGTCGAAT